TATTGTTTATGGTTCAATATCTTAAGATATATAATAAACTACATCTCCATTATATGAATTTTGTTGTTGTTTTGTTTTACCATAGCTGGTGTGTGCTTGCCAGAGAGAGAGAGAGAGAGAGAGAGAGAGAGAGACAAGGCACCTCCCCTCCTCCTTCATTCTCCTCATGAGATTTTGGACACATACATGTGCTCAGCGTGTTTTTCAAGCCACTGGTGTGAGCTCAAACTGCACAGTTACCCGTGTGGAATTCAGCAGCTTTAACCCCCTACCACTGGCTGGTCCTGAATAATATCTTATTTTTAAACTAAATATAAATTGTAATTAGTAAATGTTTCCAATTTTATTATCTTAATAAGTTTTAAGTTGCCTTATATCATTTGTCAGGATTACAAATAAATATTTTTCAAAGGAAATCCCAACTTCGTGTATTTTAATGAAGATCTCTAAATCTAAACTACTACACGTGTAGTCTCGTTTGACTTTTCCAGTATGTGTATGCAGTTAACATTGCCATCAGCATCCTACAAATAAAGGGATTGGACAACGGATGGATCATTAATAACCTGCCTGAGGACATTTGGTAACAATGACGAGGTGAAATCCAGACCAGGTCTCTGTGACCTCAGAATTAGACAGTGTTGGGACCAGGCGATGGTGTAATGGCTACATCACTGGACTCCCATGTGGTCAACTGCAGTTTTGAGTCCCAGAAACAGTTTCTTAAAACACACCAGGCACGTGTGTGCATGTGCGCAAGATCCCAAGGGGAGAATGGAGGGGAAGGGATTGCGGCATGGCCATCCCTCCTGGGAGGTGAATTCTCATCTTCAGTCTCTGATTCTCTCTGTCTCTCCGACTAGCACCCACACCCTATAGCAAAAATTTCTCCAAAAAAAAAAAACTAATAATTTGACAATGTTACTAAACACATATGTTTTAGCTCCTCCCCAGAACTTAGTCCACTCTACATTGCTGATCCTGGGACCGCTGGAATCCTGTAAGCCGGCATACATTGCTGATCCTGGGACCGCTGGAATCCTCCAAGCCAGCGTCCTCAGCCATCATCTCTGTACTGGGTGTGTTGCATTTCCATGTTCCGGCACCCGGTGTTGTGTTTCAACCTGGGCAATCAAGCAGATTTCAGAATTAATTGAATGACATTACCCCTTCTCATTTCACTTAGAAAACACACACACACACACACACACACGCACACATGCACGCATGCACACACACACTCCCATGAGTGAAAATACTCTACTGAGGCCTAAGAATTGTTAAGAGCTTTTAAAAGGTCATGAATGATTTACAAGTTGCAACGGAAAGGACAGAACTCAGAAAGCTATTCCCTCAATACGGTTGTACTCCGGGGTGTGTTTTGACTGCATTTCCGGTTCTTCACAACCCAGCTCCCATCTCAGTGAGCACATGCTCCCTCTGCAAACTGAGGAGAAGAAAAGGTAATGATGACATCATGTGAAAGAGAAAAGAATGTATTAGTATTTCCAATTTATGGAATGCGGCTCTGGGCCAGCAATGGCAGGGAGGTTAAGGTGGCTGGGTCCCTGCGGCCGATGGTGAGGCTCAGACTGGCAGCTTGAAGACACGCTGGGCTCATGTATTTGCATACCCCAAACCCAAGAGGAGAGTGGAGAAGAATGCAGGAGAAGGGGTTTTGGTGCAACCACTCCAGGGAGTGATCTCTCACTTTCTTCTCTCTCTGTAGTGAATACACACACTATATAGCAAAAAGGAAAAACAAACCAACGACAGCAAAACAGTGTGACTTCTTCAAAAGTTGACTTCATATCATTGTCCTTATGCTTTATTTAATATTATTAATTTAATGCTGTATTTCTCATGTTAGAAAACATTAGAAATAATATCAAAGGCTATCTTATGAGTTTTTTTCCAAACATACTTATGTTTTATGACTCTTTTCAGCTTATATTCCAGTTGTTAGCATGGCCACTAAAGACTTTGTCATTCTAACCCTAGAGTCTGTATTCGTGTTTGTCTTCTAATGTTTTTCTAAGTCACGCTAGCATTCTTGGTTACATTTCAGCAGTCATAGGAAGTGGACCATATGCTTGATTCTTGTAATAGTTGTAACAGCCTGCAATAAACAACCTAACGGGGAAGGATGATAAGCCTTGTATGTAACTATGTTGCTATCCTACAAGAGGAGTCAGTAGGTGTTTGGGAGAACTCTACCAAGGACAAAGAGCAATAGCACCTGTGTAACTCGGCACAGCTAAGAAAGGCAGGTGGTTAGTAAGTACTTCATTGGGGAGAGGAAGGAAACCAGAGCTGGAGAGAACATCCCCGTCCCCCAGACACTGCCCAATGTGGGTTAGCAGAAGCGGCTTCTGTGATCAGCATGTGTTGCACCCAAACACGTTTTTCCACCTTGCAGTGCCTATCAACATTGACAGTATTCAAAAAAAGGTCATACAGACTTTTTGGAGTAAAACGAATCACAAGTTCTAAGCATAAATAGTGTACTCTTGAGGATGGGGTCCATGTAAAATATGAATAGAGTTGTATGATTCCTAGAACAATTCATGAGCACCAGTGAAAAGCATAGTTTCACAAAGGATTCAGTATGGTTTTTTTTTTTTTAACTGATTAATAAAAGATTTTTAGGGAACCAGCAGTTAGCGTAATGGCTATGTCGCTGGACTTCCACATAGTTGACCGCGGTTCGTATCCCGGACCTGGTGGCTTAAAACTCACGCCGGGTGCGTGTGCGTGCGTGCCCAAGATCCCGAGAGGAGAATGGAGGAGAAGGGATTGCGGCGTGACCATCCCCCCTGGGGGGTGATTTCTCACTTTCTGTCTCTATGTCTCTCTCTGTCTGGCGAGTGCACGCGCCCTAAGGCGAAAAAAAATCTCTCCAAAAAAATTAATTAATGAATTAATTACAGATGTTCAGAGATCACCTCTTTCATCTGTACTTCCAGACTTCCAATTTCAGCTGAAGGCAATAGTGGTTTTAATGAGTTCCTTCCTTGCTTCCTCAGCAGAGGAAAAGTCTGTTTTGAAATGATTAAATAACGTAAAAAAGATGGTATCTGTACATAACATTGCTTAAGTCATGTACATGTCTTCATTGTTGAACATTTTATATTTTAAGGGCTCAGCAGGCAGTATAGTGGTTAAGACATTGGACTCCCACATGCTGACCACAGTTCGAATCACAGACCGGGCAGCTTGGAAATCATGTCAGGCGTCTATGTGCCAGGGCCCAAGAAGAGAGCAGAGGAGAGGGGACTGTGGCGTGGCCATCTCCCCTCCCCCCTGGGGGCAAGAGTTCTCACTTTAGCCCTCTCCGTCTCTATCCAGCGAAATCAAGTAAATATATATATAATAAAATTTATATTTTAAAAAAATCTTGCCAGTAATACTGTCTATAATATAGATGAGCCATTTAATGATTTTCCACCTCCGTGCACTGAATTCCCTATTGTTTCACATTTGTCGGTAGGATAAGAGGAAACTAAAAATGAAAAATCAGAACTAAGGCATACAGAGTTTACAAGTAGAATGGTCTGCATTCAGTCTGATGTAGGTTTATGCCATACAAAGTTAGCTTCCTGTAAAGCCCATGTAAACTAGCAATTGGCTTTAATTATCAAAAGCAGTGTTGAACAAAGACTTCATATAGAATAAAGCCATTTATCTAAACTTACTATTCATTCCCATTTGGTTTCCAAAGTTTGCTTTCATAACGTATTATGCAAGATATGTGTTTCTTGAAGATTTATTTTGAATTCTCGGGACCAGCAGTTAGCGTAATGGCTATGTCGCTGGACTCCCACGTAGTCGACCGCGGTTCAAGTCCCGGACCAGGTGGATTAAACTCACGCCGGGTGCGTGTGCGTGCGTGCCCAAGATCCCAAGAGGAGAATGGAGGAGAAGGGATTACAGCATGGCTATCCCCCCTGGGGGGGGTTATTTCTCGCTTTCTGTCTCTCTGTCTCTCTCTGTCTGTCTGGCGAGCGCAC